AACTGGAAATTATGTCCCTTAAAATAATTAAACAAATAAGGCACCAATGTTTTTGTAAGATATTTACATCTTACATTCGGTAGACTGATTCCCCACTGTTGGTTCAACCCAAAAACTTGTTTGTATTCAAAATTAATTATGACAATGCATATTTATATTGAAACAAACTGTGATAAAGGGAATTATATTATATAACAAAGGGCAAAGTCACCAGAGTTCAACTATGTTATTATATTGTGGTGGATATTCTTACGATTTTCGTTTTGTTCAACAATTTTTGTTATCACAGCTCTGACTGAAACTAGCGTAAATTTGTTATTTTACTAAAATTGTCATTTTTATTGTAAGCTGTAGATATTAGTTTATATTTTATTTGTTATGATTGAAATATCCCCAATTTTTTTCACAATTTGTTCATTAATATAAACAACTACTATTTTTTCATATTTGGAAATATTTTTTTATTTTTGATCATGGTTTGAACTTCATGGAGGTGAAATTAAACCTATCAAACATTTTGTAGGAGTTTTGGAATAAAAACAATTGTAGACAACTTAAGGGGATGTTTTAATAATTTTTTTTGAATAGAGCATGGAGCTAAATAAAAAAAAATAATTTGAATGGCATGCAATTAAATTAATGATAACATTAAGAGCTGTGTTATGCTAACTGGTTTAACTCCTGCATTAACTCAATTCTGTGTTGTAATGCTCCCTGGTTGTTGTTTGGGTCATTTAGATGATTTTCACCCATTTCTTCGTGGTATTTTTCAATAAGTTCATCATCATTGAGAATGCAGATGTTATGCATAACACAGGCACTCAATGCACTCAATGAATCATTCACAATTAATTGCATGTCATTAGCATGAAAATCTCTCAATTTTCGAAACCTACCCTTAAGTTGGCCAAAAGCTCGCTTAATGGTTTGTTGGGCTCTTGAGTGAGTTCATAATTAAATATTGTTTGTGCTCTACTCAATTTACCATAATCACGGAAAGGTGTAAGTAATCTAACTGAAAGAGGGTAGGCACTATCACCAACAAGATGTGTATTAGGTCGCATGATAACAGTAAGAGACCCAAAGGGTGGAGAATTTCTCCAGACTCTGGCGTCATGTGTGATTCCAGGCCATCCTGCATAAACATCAATAATAGTCCAGTCATTTTAGCAAAAAAAGGGGGCCAACCCGTCACAAATCGCAACAGAAATAATTTCTTCACAGTACTTTTCGGAAAGGTACCTAGATTGACATACTAAAAGTCTAGGAAAATCTAGACTTCCGAAATATACCTAATTTGCATATATTCAAAATGGCCGTTTTGCATATTTTTACAACATAGAAATATAACTATTTTGATATATCTTTAATTGTAAGATGAGGTATTTTAAAAATTCATGATGCTATGGTACTGTTTTGAGTCAGGGAAGGTATGAGAGTGCTAAATGTGTTGATTGGGTAACTGAAAATTTGCATAAATCTAATATGGCCGCGATAATATAGTTATTTAATGTAACTTCTCTTCCGGCTTCTCTTCTATGTGGCATAAGTAATAAGTTTAAGATGCTAGAATGCTAGAATATTTTAAACAGATCGTACAGTACAGAAAAGATGTAAAGATGTTTCCTGGGTAGACGGATGCTTCATCTGCATAAATCCAACATGGTCGTCCCATCTAAAAGAAAAACTAGAGGAATGAAACACCTTGTTGGATCTACAAATCTGCTATACTATATACACAATAGACCATTTAAACGTAAATTTTCAACTCTATAAACTATAGTTTTGATTTAACAAACTGTATTAAATAGTTATAATTCTGTCCAAAAGTTTATTGTTTGATTAATGTAATGGCTAATCATCATCGCTATTTTCATCAGATATCTGAACCACATTTGTCATCCAGATCTTCGATATTGACCACAAACTGCAGGACATTCAAGGTTGTGCTTTCTGCAGGTACATCTGAGAATGCGACAGCCTGAGGAGCAGTTGCATCTCACTATCCTCAAGAGAAATTCAGGGGCTGTCAGTCATTACAGGAATGACGATCGGTTGTGGGTCGTGTCCTGGGATTTGCTTCCTGGCGAGAAACACAATTCGTGTCTTTATCATGACTTGATTGTCCATTAAGACGACACACCTGTCCAAGAATGACAGGGCCCCTAGTTCAGCCCGACGCCTACCTGAGGCGAGGGTGAGTAGGAAGATTGTTTTCCACGTCAAAAGTTTGAGTGGTGCTGATCAGAGAGGTTCAATAGGCAGTCTGCTTAGAGCGCCCAGCACAACCGATAAGTTCCAATTGGTTGGTTCCCTCATTCGGGCTCTCGGTCTCTGATTAAACAGTAAACAGTCTCCTAATGGTAGGACAACCAGCTAGCCTAGTCCCCAGAGAATCCCAATGGTGGGTGACGAGGCTGACCTTTGCTAACAATCGCTGAAAGGACAAGTCCATTTCGTTCAATCGATAGACGAAAATTCAGCTGTCAGGCCAACAAAAGGATGACATGGATCTCCCTTCCACTACTCCAATCAGTGTACGCACGTCATCCCTATTCACCCTGGCCCGAACGTTGGCAGCCCACTGAGTGAGTCAACGAAGAGCATCGATGCATGTAAGTGGTACACCGCTGGGCTCAAAGGCAGAATGCCGTCCAATTGGGACAGCAGATTTGGAAGTCCTGATTCATCCCTGGTGTTTCGACTAACATTTCCAACAGTAGTGGAAACCAGACCTTGCTTGGCCCATTGGGCACCACCCGCGTCAAAGTGCAGATGCGCTCTTGTCGAAGTTTCTCCAGTACCCGTGAATAGCAGGAAGGGAGGAAGGGCTTACACATCCATGTGGCTTCACGGGGGTCGACAAAGGCTCCTGGAGTCGGCAGGAGTGTCGTGTACATCGGGAGCTTGGCGTTCTGGGGTGTGAGGAATAGGTCTAACATTGGACCGTCCCACCACCAAAACAGTTTGAAGGTTACCCATTGGGGTATCCGCCACTCCTTGTTCTGGAGATGGAGCCGTCATGAGAGGGCGTCCACTTGACAGTTTCCCACCCCTGTAAGGTAGTGTGCGGCTAGCTCCACATTGTATTCTAGGTACTAAAAGGGTATTTTCTCCGCTAGGACTGACAATGATGGGGATCTGGTCCCCCTTCTTGTAGCTATAGGAGACCACCACTATGTTGTCCGTGCGAAGCAAGACTCTGTGGTCTCGAACTAAGTGAAGTAGTACTAAGCACACTTCGTTCAGTTCAAGCCATTTGATATGGCAGTCCTGAATCTAATGCAGGGGCCATAATTTCCATTGGGCTTGTTTGTGCAATAGGTGCGCTCCCCAACATGTGAGAGAGGTATCCGTTTGCAGAGTCATAGCCGTGGCGAGCGGGTCCAAGGAAACCCCCTGACTGAGGTTGGCAATTGCCGAACACCAGGGCAAGGCATTCCTCGTTTGGTCCGAGAGTGTTACTCACCTCTCCAGTTTCCGGTGTTGCAACAAAAGTGCGCTGTAACTGGTGGCAGCATAACGCGGCCTGGGGAACTACGCTGCGAACTGCTGTCATCATTCTGATGATCCGCATTAGTTCTCGGAGAGACACAGAGGGAACGCTGACTAGGTCATTTAGGCAAGGCAATGAACCTGAGGTGATCGTACCAAGCCCACCTCCGTGTTGAACTCCCTGGCCAGGAACACCAACTGTTGTGTTGGCTAAGGGTGGGACTTGTTTGATTTACTAGGAAGCACAACTGGTCTAGAAAATCTGGTGTTAGCCTTACTATTTGACTAACCCCTTGTTGGGTTGTGTAGCAACCAGCCATCTAGTACACGTTGATGTGTATCGATGTGATGTGTACCGGCACAGCAGTAGCACCACCTGTTTCCACAATCTGGTGAATACGTATGAAGCCATGCAAAACCTCGAGGGGAGCACCCTGCACTCAACTACTTGGCCCAACTAGGCGAAGTATAGCTCTAATCTAGCGAGGCTAACCAGTAGAAACAGAGCACAGAGAATAATATGGTGCTTGGAGTTTCCAGGAAGCTCATACTTATTTGGTCTGCTTAAGTCCATGGGCACAGCCACCTGTAGTCTCAGTTATAGTCTTTGGAACCACCAATACTTGCGAGTAGAAGCCGGGACTTAACGCCGAGTTCCCTATCCTGTGTATAGCGCCCTTTGTAAGCAAACTATCTACCTCCTGTCGGAGTCCAGGGATCGATTATGCGCTGCCTCTAAACTGGAATACAGCATTGCAATGAGTGCGATAGAAATGTGTGGGTTCCACATTGGGGTGATCAGAGTGATCTCTCTTCCGCCGAGGCGAGACCCCGCGAGACATGTAGAAGTCGCTAGGTTCCACAAGCCGAAGCATCAAACCTGCTTCCCCTGTGAGCTGGGTAGGCCACCCCTAAGGAAGAAAGGGGGACCAACACCTGGTCCCTTCTCTCTGGGGCGCGTTGCCACTCTCCCTCCCCCAGAAGAGATGGGAACCTTGACTCCTGGCCACTTCTGGCCAGTGGGTGCCGAAGTTGGTCGTTTTGTTTTCTCAGCATGGGGTCATTACCGTTTGCCCTTGGCAGAAGCCAAACTGGCTCACAGGTCCCACCTGTACTAACTGGTCAGTGGATCTAGGAGGCTGGTGCGTTCCGCCATTGAGACTTCAGAATGCTGGTGGCGCAAAACAATTCATTTCAGTGTGCTGGCCACAACTCGAAGGTTGAGGGTCGCCACTCTGCATTCAGTTCATTGATTTTTCCGAATAACCGATCGAAATATTCGATAAACGCGGCCACCCATTTTGCCCGTCCCACCGAACCCAAAAAAATCGTACCAGGGTCGGGAGAGGAACCAAAGGATCCGATCAGAACGCCAGATTTGACTCCAGACTCTGCTGGCTCCTGTCTCAAACACTTCCCGATTGGGTAGCGCTTGGTCCAGTGGAAAAGGTTGAGCATAAAATTCACCTACCCTAAGGACTTAGGCCTCTACCCCGCGGGGGATCATGGTACGCCCATCAACACCGTCTATGCATTGCCCCTATGTCCATCACTCGGCGGGATCCAAAGCAAGACCGGAAGCAGGACTCTGGATCCCGGAAGTGACAGTCCTACCGAGAGTGATTGTTCCAGAATCGAGGGTGGGGTGGGGGGTTTGGTTCAATATCGGGTAACTAGGATCGATGTTCCCCCCTCACCCCACGGCGTGGCTTTCGGAGTCAATTCGAGGGGCCGCCCAAGGTTGCACATTTAAATGACACTATTTTGAAGGCCATATTGGATTTATGCAAATGGAATTGTTAATTCACACACACAAAACCATATCGCAGCAACTTGAATATCTAAAAAATGTCATCTAGAATTAAAGATGTGTCCTAATAGTTATATTTTCCATATATGCAAATTAGGTATATTTCCGAAGTCTAGATTTTCCTAGACTTTTAGTATGTCAATCTAGGCACCTCCCCGGAATGTATTGTGAAGAAATTATTTCTGTTGCAATTTGTGATGGGTCAAACCATAAATTGACTGGACTAATAAACAATAATCTAGAATTACATACTGCCTGTAGAATGATAGAGTGAAATTTCTTTCTATTTGTATATGAATCTGAATTCAAATGGGGGGCTTTGATTCTAATGTGTGCTCCATCAACAGCACCCAGGATTGAATGGAGCCTTGAAATGTGGCCATACCACTGTATGGTCCGGTTTCTGGTGTCTGTTGCATGTGGCCATTTGATGTAGCGTGGCATCAACTTCTCAACTTCTCAACAACTACCTTGTTTATCCTTTTCCAACATGTATGTATATTTGAAAGTGACACTCCAAATCTATCGGCTATGGATCTGAATGTTCCATTATTCCCTAAAAAAAATTTGGTAACTATAAATATGTTTATAAAAATTAGTAGAGGGGTTGTATTAAACAGGATATTGCAGATGGAGGGATAATGCTGCAGATATGTAATTTTCAGGAAAAATCTGTATATATAAAATCTTATAAACGGTTTGTGACTACAGTCGAAAACAACTATTTTTACTGGCATTTATTTTAATACTTTAATATATTGTGATCATGTTCACATATATTTCAAGTTCACATAACTGTATTTACTATTTTACATATTCATATTAATTTAATTATGGAGCTTCTATGAAAACACATTATTGAGCAAATTTCAATTAATTATATAATACTTGGACCAAACAACTAAAAAAATGATTGTGACTACAGTTCCTATGTATTACAAACTAGGCTATTTCGAATAGGATGTTGGGAGAGACTGATGTTAAAGATAAAAAAAGATGTACACATCAAAACTAGATGAATTTACATGTTTATCTGTTTCCTCGATTTATAATGCCTGTTCAAACACCGAAACACAATTTGGGACAATTACTAAAATAAAATAAACTTACCTAAATACCACAGAAAAATCAATAACTGTTTCTCTATGGTAACTGCCACTTTTCCCCGCATCCCAGGCAAGTCGGGTTCAGGCAATTCATAAGCAGCTATAACATAATAAAAGTGGGTCTGAGATGTTTACTTCCGCTTGGGTCATGAACTTGCTGTAAATTTACATAACAGCTGTAACCAATGAACGAATGAGTGCAAATAGAAAATTTGCATATGTAAACAAAAGTTTAACTCACGTTTAAAATAATATCAAAACTCGACCTTTCCAACCTAAAGTGGCTTTTAAAGTCATCTGGTTCATATCGCGGAACAACGGTTTCCGCGTATCCCTGGTTGCGCGGAACTGCTACTCTTCTCGCAAATAGCAGCCCAAATTTAAATGCATCGTCATTATTCATGATGAGAGCCAACATTAGCATCTCAGTTTGCTGCACAAATATTGGCACCAACACTCCTAAAATACGGCGAATATGTTCACGGTCTGCCATTTTGTTTAACTGACCTTAGTTCCTCGAGACAGTTTATTTCCTTGCCTCGAGGCACCTCGAGCTGACTCGAGGAATAGTTTCTACGTCACTCGGGCGCCCCAAGGCGAATAATCGAAAACGCTCCAGCGCCTTCTACAATACCAGGCATGTGATCCAACAACTTACAGCGTTCTCTACATTACCAAGCGTGTGTTCCAAAAACGTGCAGCGTCAATGCGTACAGCGATTTCTACAATCATCGGGGGCGGAGCTACGTCACAATAATACGCGCAACACTGTACATGTATTTCTATGGGTTCTTTTCGCGCTGCTGTGGAACGCCGGTCGAGCTGGTGAAAATTCGAGAAAACACCACAAACTTTGAAGTAATCCTGAACAACCAAATTTATATATGTTACACGCGTAGAGCTAATTTTGTTAAACTGTTCAGGGGAGTCTCAACAACCATCCCAAAGTACCGTTTTCTGCGTTTTTGGCCTTTGTTTTCACCGCCAGGGTTGTTAAGCGCTGAAAATGTCGGGATGTCCGCCCGAGGATACCAGGCATGTGATCCAACAATTTACAGCGCCCTCTACATTACCAGGTGTGTGTTCCCAAAACGTACAGCGCCTTCTACAATACCAGGCATGTGGTCCAACAACCCACAGCATCCTTTACAATACCAGGCATGTGATCCAACAATTTACAGCGCCCTCTACAATATCAGGCAATATCCAACAACTTACAGCATCCAACACAATACCAGGCATGTGCACGTTATCCAACAACTCACAGCGCTCTCTACATTACCAGGCGTGTATTCCAAAAACTTACAGCTCCCTATACAGCATGTGATCAAAAAACTCCTAGCGTCCTCTACAATACCAGGCATGTGACCAAACAACTTACAGCGCCCTCTTAAATATATAATCTAAGGAGGCGGACTGAATGGGCATGACATTATTGCAGTAGTACGAACTTATTAACGGAGAATGAAAATTGGATTGTTTTCAAATTACATCACTTAGTCAAATGTATTTTGGACGGAATCACGGCTGGTGGAACAATATGACAATTACTAGCTACGTTTGTTCTATTTGCAAGGAAGCCAGCAAAACAACTTACAGAGCCCAGTACAATGTCAACGAACCTTTTCAACACCCAATTGAACTCAATAGTCAACAGTGAAATTGTTGTTTACGTGA